TGTCTCCTTAATAGGCTCTCTCTCTTAGATATTCGCGACAGAACAGCTCTCATGCAATATTAATATCCCGCCAAAATATGGAATATGTGCCCCATCTCTCTTTCGCTTTCTCTTTCTCTCTCTCTCTTCCTTTCTCAACATAATTGACTATGCAAGGCTCCAAATCATCTTGGAAAGAGACAGCAAGCGAGAGGCATGTGTCGGATCCAAATGCAAGAAAAGCAATCCCAAAATGATCCCGTCCTCTTATCAATACGACACATTGTGAACTTTCACCCTCCCCACGTGTCAAACGTGTGGAAAGCCCAAACAACAACAAGAGTATATGAGCGCATTAAAAAATAAACCTGTGCTGGAAGATGTTGTTTTCCACAAAACACAACTACCAATACAAACTACCACTTGTCTGACTTTGGTTTTCATCACTGTTTATTAATGCGATTGTGAACACGTTTTGATTGAGTGAGTGGGGTGGGACACTTTTAGGAATCTGCTTTTGTGAAAGATGCAAACCATTAATCTTGGAGTTCGATGGGCTACGTTAGTGGTATTGGACGTGAGTCGAATCGTAGCTGAAGTTTAACTGTATTGCAGCATAGCTAAAGTGAATTGCATCATATCTTATACTAATCAAAGTACCGTAGATTGCATGGTAAAGTGGAGCTGTATGTATCAGGAGTGACTCGTTTCTTAGTTGGAGGGAACTGTACCGTAATTGAGGTGAATTACATCAAACTGAAACTGGAATGAACTGTGTTTTATGGTATTTATTTGTATTGGAGCTGAAAGGAATCGGAGTACAATTCGCAACTGAAGAGAATCGTACTGTATCGTGATTGGAGTGAATATTATGACTTTCTGAAATGAATTGCATCGGAATTTCGAATGAAACCTCTTGTAGTTTAAGTGGATTGGATCAAATTGTAGTCAAATTGAAGGGAATCACATCGTAATTACAGTTAACTAGAACGTATTGGAATTGGAGTCAGTCATATATTTATTTTTCGAGGACGGTGACTGACAGTTTCTATTCTTTCCGATGAAAAAAAATTGCTACAAATCTACTTGGGGGTCGCCCAGCATCCAGGAAAGGATCCAGATTGACTTAGAAGGTTGCACTATATTTAACACCGATTAAATTCCCTGAAGAATGTTCTTAGTGTCTCACGAGGAAACATCGAGGTCAAGCATCTGCACTCCGTGGGCGAAGGTTGGTTTCACCCACCTTGACAGGAAATGAGGAGGTGTTGGAGATGGAGGTTTTCGAAGCGGAGGAGGCGGCTGCGGTGGAAGTGCTGAGCCCACTTTTAACTGAACTAGTGGTGGCTGGTGTTAGTGCTGGTGGTTGTGGACAGAGATCCAGATCAGGGAAATGCAACAGGGGAAGGAAGAGAAAGGAATGGGGGAGGACAGAGAAGGGGCGGCGGGCGCAGGAACCTCGTGCAGCGGCAGCGAGTGCACCTTGATACGGGCTCTCGCTGCAGCGCCTGTTAAGTCCAATGGAAAACCGTCTGTTCTTTCTTCTGCATGTTAAGTGCTTTGCATTGCTCCGCGTGTACACTCAATGCAAGCTGATACTTGACTAACGACAGGCCTTAATAGGCGTACGCGAACCTGGTTGACTTCCAAGTTGTTCCGATTTCAAAATACGTATTCATAGTCGAGAAAATACTAATGGAAAGTGAACTAATTTGCTCCAGGCTGGAAACATTTTTTTTCCCAGAGACTTTGTTTCAACCCTTTCAGGGACAGCGGTTACTACAGTGGACAGCATATCAAGTTATCAGGTTACAGGGTGCATGAAAGGGTTAAATTGTTTGATTTTAGAGGCATGCTGTGCCAAAGTTGTGGTGTCTTGAGATGCAGACGTCGATAAAAAAAAAAAAAAAAAAAAATGTGGGAAAAGGACCTTGCAAAAATAATCGCGTATTAACTGGCAAGCACAATATTATGGGGAAAAATGAAATTTGATTATCTTTCAAAATTGTTCACACATTGTGATGTCCTTGAACAGTGTATAGTCACAATTTAAAAAAAAATCCATTCCATAACGTTGAATATCAGTTTTTAAACGTGTGTATGTGATTGTGTGTCAGTCTAGGGGAGTGCAATGTATTTATATACTTTTTTTATATTTTTATATTTCACGATACACTTGGGGGTGGAGGCTCCTGCAAAATCTCGTTGTAACAAGTGTGCAATGACAATAAAGTATTCATTCATTCATTCATTCAGTCATTCAATGGTATCTTGTGAAAATGTTTTCTTTTTTTAGGATGTTTTTTCCCACAATATGGGTTGAAATTTAGAAGAATATTCTCCCCTGATTTTTGTTTGAAACTTGTGTGACTTTTGGGCATATTTGTCACAAAAAAAAAAAAAAAAAACATTGGGGGAATTTGACTTTCCAGGAAATGTTTGCCCGAATTTTTGACAGAATTTTTTCTTTTTTTTTAAATTTTTTTATGAATGCAGTATGACTATATTATCTTCTTGAAAGTATTTGGTGAAATATTTTTTTCTTAAAAATGTTGATTTAAACTGACATTTCCCTATTTTGGGGTGTAGTATTAAATGTGATTGGTTTATTTGTTTATTTTTAATTTTGGTGGGATATTTGTACCATTTTTTTAGGGGGGTGAGGCGGGGGGGATGAAATTGTCGGTGGATATTTGTCCCAGAAATTCGGGTTGAAATTGTTTGACTTTTGGTGTGTTTTTCCCAACTTTTGCTTTTAGCTTTTGAGGATATTTTTGCCCCAGATTTTGTTTTTTTTTCACTTTGAGACATATTGAAATAGCTTCACTGTGGGGGGGGGGGGTGTATTTTCTCCCAAAACTTTTTTTTCCTCATGCAATTTTAGATTGAGTTGTTTTACCCTACTTTTTATTTTGTTTTGTTTTGTTTTTCCTGAAAGCTTTGGTAGAAATGATGTTGGCATGTTTCCCCAAATCTGTGCTGCAATGAATTGAATTTTGTCCCACCGTTCACGATTCCTCTGTAAATGAAAACGTCAGCGAGGCTTTAAACAAGAGCACCGGTGACATCTCTTTACTCTTGCACTAAATTTGTACCTGTCAATTTTTACGAATGTAAGATGCTTGGCTTCATGCTTGACTTGTGCGCTTGGATTTGCATGCGGACTTTGAGGATTTGAGAATCCACTGCGGGCGGATATATATCTTTACAGCATCAAGCTTGTCTTTGACATAGAACTCATCGGTGTGATTTGCGAGCGTCTCTCTCGGTCTTAACGACTAACAGTATTCGCTTTAGATATGGAGCAGGTGGCTTTCTTAGAAATGCTTTGTTAGCACTCTTGCTCTCTCTCTCGCTTCATAAATAATGTAGCACATGAAACATCAATACGATTTCTGCTGTAATTAAAAAAAAAAAAAGTGCGCACTAACAATCCGTATTGATGCAGACACAGCCCCGCCATGTTCCCCGAAGCAGCCGGCAGATAATTTAAAAAGCGCTTGCGACGAGTGCAACGCCAGATGAAATTAAATTGTCTCTTTTTGCTCTATTGTTCCTGCCATTGTCTCTCCTTTGTCACATAAAAGCAAGGCAAGCTAGATGGTAATTATGATTTTGCACGCAATACTAAAAGATGTCCTAAAGAGAGTGGTGGTGTTTAGAGCGGAAAGTAGTGTTGCAGCACTTTGTCAAAGTCAAAGTATTTGCAAAGTGCAGCATCACTAAAACTTCAATGAGTTGCAGTCCAGTCCATTTCGCAAAAACTCGAATTAAATATTTCGCCCTTCAATGCCCCCAAAACAGCTGGAATAGAAAAAGAACAGCGGGTGGTCTTTTGGCTTCACACCTATGCAAAGTTGCCAAGCAGGCAAACACCAAACAAACCCAAAGAGAAGTTGTGATGGCTGCTTTGTCGGAAGCCTTGCGGCAGCCCTTGGGACACCCGACCGACCAAGCATGGGGGAGGTTCATTTTTGTGAAAGTTCACAAGGTTTAACAGTGTAAATTTGGCTTCAGTAGCCTGTTATGGCCTAAATACTGTTCATGATTGACGGCCTGGTCCATGAGAATTTAGTAGGATTATACTACATATTGCAATTCCCCCACAGAGAGAGCCGAAACTGCCACAGAAAGAAATTGACTGACGATAGTAAAATACATTGCGGATTATAATAGCAGCAATCTCCACAGAGTCAAGGTAGATGCCATTTTCCTATGAATCGTGGCCAGGGGGTTTAATTAGGTAAATGCGAGTATTGAAGGAGTATTTTCCCCGAAAAGTTTGCTTGAAAAAGTTTTACATTGAATAATGCGTTTTTCAAGAATTTCAGGTGAAACATTTTATATTCTGAAATTTTGCTCCAAATGTTGGCATATCTATCCAAAAATGTTCTTGTTTTTTTCGGCATTTCAACATGGTCTTGTGAAATCATTTGGTATATCTTCCCAAATATTTGTATTCATTTATTTTTTTTTATCTGAAATTGTATGATTTTGAGGGATTTCTCCCAAAATTTTGTGGTGAGGTGCTAACATTTAAACAGAAGAGTCAGGTGTGAGGATCTAGGAAGATGCAATTAGAGAAATGAGATGAGCCCCCATATTCAATGCAGTCTCTTTGCAGCAAACCCGGTGTCTGTTCACCCCCGCGAAAAAACATACAGGACAAGTGGTGGGTGTTTCCGCCAGTCTTCAGCGAAGTGGGAGTCCGCTAAATCATTCGTCAGCTAAACGGGTGTCAGTCAATGATGGACTGACGGACCTTCCATCATGACTGACAGAATGCCCGCCTCTGCTAATGGCACATATTTATCTCTGAATTTCATTCAAATAAATTTTAATTGAAATCATTTAACTTTTGGAATGCCATTGAATCTATGAGGGGAAAAGTTTCCGAACTAAACATCAAAGTTGAAGAATCGGCAACCACTTCTGGCCCATATCAAGGTCTCAAACCCACAAATAGACCATACACTATGACTAATGTCTTCGAACGGAATGCAGCATGCAACAAGACTTACCCCAGAGGATGGCAGTCTCTTGCCGTCAGGGTTGGGGCGCATGGGCAGAGAACTGTAGAGCCTCACGCCTCGATCTGCACCGCTGTATCTGCTCTGATAGAACAAAACAACAGACAATACGTTTTAAGTATCATAGCTTTGATACTTAAGAATGGAGTTTCGACAATAGTTGCTCGCACCTTATGTGATGTTAGGATGCTAGTTTTTAAAGTACAAAGTGCAATGTTATATCAGTATATTTGGCTCACTGTAGGTGCTCACAAGCTGAAAAGGTGCCTATTTGCGTATTTTTGTGCTCTCAGAATGTTGCAATCCATATTTACTCCAATGAGGGGCAGGCACCCAGGAACTGAGGTTGGATCGGTATTGATGGCATGCTAAGGCTAGCTGCCTCAAAAAAGTTTGAGCGTACAGGAGGGGCACAGACGGCAATGGTGCTCAGATGACTAGCCAGTGCTACATGGTACACAGTACTCTATGTAGATGTATGTTTTTCAGTGAAATGGGTTCCAAGCGTACGAGGAGGCTAATCTGATGTAAATGGAAGATCACGTGACCAAACATGGAAAACAGATTATTTGGACTTGCTGCGTACGGTCCGATAACTAGCCTAACAATGGGTTGAACACATGACTTGGTTTGCGTCTGGATCAAATTAAAATTTTAGAAAAGTTGAAAATCAAATATCAAAAAGACAACATCTATTTTCCTCAAAAACAATTTATTAAACACAAAAATAAAATCTGAAAAAAATAAATACAAAGGCAAATTAAATCTGAATAGAATAAGGAAATATTTATATAAATAGAAATAAAAATACGGATAAGTTACATAATTTGAATCGATTCAAATAATTAATATATGTATATTAAAACAAAAAAAATAAACAAAATAAAAATAAACAATTTCCATCTATGCATCCATCTTCCATATCTGCTCATCATATTCAGTGTCACTGTTTGACTGGAGCCTATCCCACAAAAGTATACACTCTGGACTGATCAACTGATCAATAAAGGGGCACACAAAGAACCATAAAAAAATACACTCTAGTCTAAGTCTTACTGTGTGGGGACCCGAACCCCCGCTTCCTGCACGGAAGTCAGGCGAGTGATTGTAAACACAACGGGATACATTCATTCTGAACGAGCTGCATCCTGCACTTGCCTAGAAGTGGATTGCATGTTCTTGATTCATGCGATCGTAAACCAATCGTTATGTGTTTTGTGAACAGTTTCACTTATGCAACAAAAATATACAGAACGTTCAACAAAAAAAGGACACACACACACACACACACACACACACACACACACACACACACACACATTGTACATGCATTCAGATTGCTTTTCAGTGAGAATACAGTCTATACACAAGCATAAACAGCCTCGCACGCTGTTTATCTTATATGTGCTATAAACAGATTGTGCTTATGGGCCTGCTGTGAATGCACAGTGATTACCATGCAATTACTGTGCAGCAAAACCCACATGCAATGTGTGCCAAAGCTTATTTCCCATACCATGCATGGAGGATAATAGGCTAGGGGATAAAAGCAACGGCATGCTATATACACTAACCTATTAGCAGTGATGGAATAATGTGTATATTAACAGGACGCTCAGCTAATGGAGGGCATCGGATAGTACAAGTGGACTTACTCGAGTGAAAGATTATGATGTCCATGTGTGTTTGGTGTACCACATTGTTAGCGTGTAGGCTTACCGTTCACACTTTCCTCTTAGCAGCCGAAAAAGGCTTCGCTAGGGCTGGCCAATGGGCCTTTATCTTAAATTTTCTTAGCTTTGCATTTGTAATTGTTTATTCTTTTCCGAGTTTTTGATGATTTGCAAACGCTTGGATTTTTACACTTTGTTTTCTAAATTCTGGTTAGAACTGAATAAATAAATTCTTTTTTCTCAATGTAAAGCTGCATACAGAAATCATTTCCCCAAGCATCTAGTAAGCAGTTTAACACTTTTACTCTTTCAACAATGGTTTTTGCCTCGCACTGTAAAGCCGCCAGGGACAGCTGAAGGGATATAGTTACCTGTAACATTAGCCGTTTCACATTATAGTACGCGGCGCGCAGATGTGGCGCACTTAATGCAACACATGTGTTTTCTTTAGGCAACATTCTTCCTGGCTTAACTAAAAAAAAAAAAAAAAAAAAAAAAAAAAAAAACTTGCACACATCATACCGCACTGATGAGAGGAATGTGCTGCCCCAGACAAGGGGAAATCCCATCACTCAGCGACTGTATACATGCTGTGTGTATACATTATGGAGACCACTCTGTGTGTACAATATGCACTCAGCAATGCATGACCAATGAATGACATTAGTAGAAGAGGGGAAAACATTGCTGATATTTATGAAAATAAATCACATTACCCTGCCAGTTGGGTTGCAGAATGTAACAGAAGAAGGTCATAAAGTGTGAAAAAATAGCTTTGTTAAAACTTATTTTCTATGATTTTATTAAAATTATGATCATTTTTAGGTTTTTCTATATGAATGAATTATTGCTGTGATTTACTTATACGCATTTACTTTGTTTTTTTCTTTGCATGTATTCATGGCCTTCAAGAATGTAAAAGACAAATACAAATTGCATTTTTGTCCTGGAGCAAACAAGTTTTAGATAGTTTTTAATAAATATCAGTAAATACAATAAGAAATAAATTATTCCAGTATAATATTATTATTCTCCATGTTTTGTCTACAATAACATTTTGATCTTAATGATGAAAAATGTGTTCATAAAATGAAATAATATAAATGATAATAACATATTTATATAGCTTATTTGAAAAGACCCAAAGATACTGAACACAGGAAAAGGAAAAAAAATATATATATATGCAATATTATTTCTTTTTTTAATAGTTATTCTTATACATGCATACATACATATATGCAACAAGCAAGCATTTCTACATTCTACTAATACACTTATTAAGTGCTGTCAGTGGTTAAATGTAAGCAGATGTTATGATGTCATAAGATCAAATATACAGTTTGACAAACAGAGGATGTTGTGCAGTTGCTACAGACCAGATTGAGGGCCAAAGGTTCCCATCATATATGCCATAAAGACATGCAGGATGGTGGCTATAGGATACCATTGTGTTACAATATTAACAGGAAGTGACCGTGAAAAGATTTCCCTCCTCCTCCGTAATTGCCCACTCTACTTCAAGTGGACTAACCGAGACATGGGAAAAGAATATAGTTGCAGTTGAAGAGAGAATTTTTTTTCTGATGTCAAGTGGCGCAGTGACCCATCGGATTTTGCAGATGGAGCTATGGTGAGAAAAGTGTCCTATATGTGGCAGTTGGCACTTAATAATGTGCAACAATGCTAACTACAGCACAGTGGAACAGCATCACAAGTTGTTTTGTTAGCTACAGTCCGCTTGAATTGGCGGCCAATAGATGAAGTGACCCACCAGATCCTGCAGATGGAGCCGCAGGGAAAACAGCTTGTGGTGTTTGACAGTTGGTGATTTGTCATGTGCACTATCAAGACCTTCAGGACTTGAGTAGAATAACATGCCAGTTAATACTATGTGAAAAACGAGTTTGAAGCAGGGTGACGCACAGATGGACCTTTTCTTTTTCTTCCTATACAGATGAAACAATGATAATTTGATGTTGGTCTCCTGAGCGGGCGGATGACTGGTTTGCACATCGGATTGACAGTGAAAAAGTGATCCTGCGCTACGGCCTTTCCGTGTGGAGTTTGCATGTTCTCCCCATGCCTGCGTGGGCTTTCACATTCCAAAAACATGCATGGCAGGTGAATGGAACACTCTGAATTGCCCCTAGGTGTGCGTGTGAGTACGAATGGTTGTTCGTCTCTGTGTGCCCTGCAATTGGCTGGCAACCAGTAAAGCATGTACCCCGCCTACTGCCTGCAGACAACTGGCATTGGCTCTAGCACGCCCGCGATCCTCGTGAGGAAAAGCGGATTAGAGAATGAATGGATCGATGTATGGATAGCTTGTTATTTAGTTTTTTAGCGTCCCGCAAAATCAACAGAAGAAGCCCTTACATTTTGGTAAAGGTAAATAAAGGAATGCTTTTTTTCAGCTTGCCTGAACTCAGTGTGGGCCAATGACCCATACAATCCAGCATATGGCGCTGCGGTGAAAAAAAGCTTGCTGTGTGTTTCAGGTAAACCTCCGCCTTGTAATGCGCTTTACTGCCACCTACGGGATTGGAGCGGAACTAGATAAATTTTCCCAACAAACTGACACAGTGAGGACTCAGGGAAGGTTGGCTCTGAAGTGAATGGCTTTCTAACTTATTGCCCAAGTCTCTCCCAGTCAATCTCAAGAAAATAATATAGATCCTTCATTTTCACTTATGTGTGGTGTTGAAAACTGCTCCTCTGTTTTTCACGAGGCGGTTTGCCGACAACAACGTAACAACCGCCCAGCTTTGCCAAACAAAACCTCGGCCTCTGGCTGGCCGGCGTCGGAGAAAGACAACAGATGGCTGCCAGGAGATTTAGTCGTTTCTTCTTTTTAACTACCTGCAGCATCTGGAGAGAATGAATCTTGGAGTAAACGACTTGAATAGGAAATCCTGTGACTGTAATGTTATCTCGTTTCCTCGAACACATCGCACACCATCTGCATGGCGTCATACGGCTCTTTTGCGTGACGGAAAAAGATGGGGGCGAAATGACATTCTGAAAGTGTTTGCTGGACAACTGAGGAGTAACATCCCAAATAATAAATAACAAGGAAAGCCTAATCACAAACTGCAACACCTCTCCTCATGTGTGATAATTTGCAGCACTTTCAAATGCATATTAAACAAGTGAAATGATTCATTAGCCTTTTAAACAAATATCGTCATGGTTTTTGACTGCAGTAAGCACAGGAAAAAATTTCCAAGGTAAGTTCTCGTAGGCCAAAATAATATCCTGCTAAGGTGGTGCTCGTATCTTTCGGAGGTCCGGGAAAGTTTGGGATCGAATTGCAGGTAGTCTCCTAATTAAACACCAGTGTAGCACATATTCAGATATTTAATGACAGTTTCTATACAGTATGTGGTGACTTTAACACTTGCCCTCCGT